AGGGACATCGGCACGGGATGATTTCGAGTCGATTCTGAAAGCCTCCCGGCCTAGAACCCGTCTGCAGTCTCGAACCATCGAGCGAGCAACTTATGGTAGGATTCGGACAAGACGCCCTTCAGAAGATGAAGAATCTGATGCCGGCTCCGCGGTGGCATCAGATAATACAGTATCCAGCGAGGGACAACCCCGCGAGGCACTTATGATAAGTGCGGAGCAGATGGCCAAGATGCTTGAAGACGCTTTGGCTAAGCAGAAAGAAAGTTTTAAGTTTGAGATGGAGATGGCCATGCAGCAGATGAGAGAAATGCATGACCAACAGATCCAAGCACTGGCGAACCAACAAGGCGAGCAGAATCATCGTAACCCGATTAATGTGGAAGATGAGGATACAAATGCTCGTAACACCAATGATCCGCCCGTCAACGCAGGGGGTGGTAATGAGAATGCTGGCGAAAACACCGGCGAAAACATGAAGATCAAGAACCTCGAGAGCAAAATCAACACATTGATCTCCGCTCAAGAGACGAAGAAAACAGGCATTCCTTGCCCATACCCAAGAGAATGGGAATCGATCCCATATCCGGCGAAGTTTAATCTAATTAACTTCACGCCGTTTAATGGGATGGGTTCACCTACCCAGCATTTGATTTACTTCAAATCGCACTTGGGGGTGATCTCTGGTAATGAGCCTCTGATGGTGCGGTCATTCGTCGGCACTCTTCGCGGAGCCGCCTTCGATTGGTATCGCCGCCTCAAGCCAGGCAGCGTAAACAGCTGGGATGACATGGAGACCAAGTTCCTGGCCAACTTCTTCGACGACGACACCGAGATATCTATCGGATCGTTGCTCGATGAGAAGCAGAAGGACGGAGAGTTAGTCGATACCTTCGTCAAAAGATTCCGGAACAAGGCGATGAATTGCCGGGACCCGATCACAGAGGAATTCATCCTCCAAACTTGCCACAACAACCTTGCGTTGGACGTGTTGGAAGCAATGGGAACAGCACCGTCTGACACTTGGAAGGATCTGAAGGCCCGAGGGGAGCAGGCTGAGCGATTCCTTAGAAGGAAGAAGGCCGAGAGGAACCAACCGACGGTTAATCCGCTGGACTCAAATTTCGCCTCTCGTGGTAAGGGCAAAACACCTGCAGCTACTGGTGGTGCTAATCAAGCGTCACAACAGCAATCCCGAAGGCAGCAAAAGACTTCGGGTCCGAGACTCCAAAGAGAGTATTCCTTCAAGGACGAAGACGTTCCAGCCATCTTCGAATCCCTCCTTGAAGGTAACAAGATCAAGCTACCACCTATCACAAATCAGGAGGAAGCTGACAACACTACGGACCCAAAGTACTGTGCATACCACAGGAGGGTCGTTCATCCCACCAAGGATTGCTTTGCTCTCAAGAATAGCATTCAGACCTTGGTTGAAGCCGGCGTCATAACGCTAAGGTAAGCCAATTGAGAACGGCAAAACTCCAAAGAGTATACGAGTATAAACTGTTTCTCAATCCTCCGACCGGTATAAGAGGTTAAACTACTCCCTGATACTCCAATAGGTATATGAGTCTAAACTGTTTCCCCACTTTTGACGGGAAGTTCCTGGAGAATATTAAGCTAATATTCTTAAGGATAACCCGGTTAGTTAACTGATAATAATGTCCGAACCAGTTCCGCAGAGGAAACTGGGGGTGGACGATTTATGTAACGGGAAGTTCCCAAAACCACAGCAATGTAATGAATAAGAACTCCCATTCTCACCATGTCTATGCACTCAACACTCTCTCTGTTAGAGTCTGGACGTAAAGTACCCACTTGGTCAAACCTTCTTACAGTTAGGACCACAGTCAAAATCCCCTCTCGATTCCCCCAATGAACGAGAGGTCCACAAATTGAGCGATCAAACCTTCCTACAGTTAGGATTGTCTCAAAACACCCACTTGGTCAAACCTTCTTACAGTTAGGACCACAGTCAAAATCCCCTCTCGATTCCCCCAATGAACGAGAGGTCCACAAATTGAGCGATCAAACCTTCCTACAGTTAGGATTGTCTCAAAACACCCACTTGGTCAAACCTTCTTACAGTTAGGACCACAGTCAAAATCCCCTCTCGATTCCCCCAATGAACGAGAGGTCCACAAATTGAGCGATCAAACCTTCCTACAGTTAGGATTGTCTCAAAACACCCACTTGGTCAAACCTTCTTACAGTTAGGACCACAGTCAAAATCCCCTCTCGATTCCCCCAATGAACGAGAGGTCCACAAATTGAGCGATCAAACCTTCCTACAGTTAGGATTGTCTCAAAACACCCACTTGGTCAAACCTTCTTACAGTTAGGACCACAGTCAAAATCCCCTCTCGATTCCCCCAATGAACGAGAGGTCCACAAATTGAGCGATCAAACCTTCCTACAGTTAGGATTGTCTCAAAACACCCACTTGGTCAAACCTTCTTACAGTTAGGACCACAGTCAAAATCCCCTCTCGATTCCCCCAATGAACGAGAGGTCCACAAATTGAGCGATCAAACCTTCCTACAGTTAGGATTGTCTCAAAACACCCACTTGGTCAAACCTTCTTACAGTTAGGACCACAGTCAAAATCCCCTCTCGATTCCCCCAATGAACGAGAGGTCCACAAATTGAGCGATCAAACCTTCCTACAGTTAGGATTGTCTCAAAACACCCACTTGGTCAAACCTTCTTACAGTTAGGACCACAGTCAAAATCCCCTCTCGATTCCCCCAATGAACGAGAGGTCCACAAATTGAGCGATCAAACCTTCCTACAGTTAGGATTGTCTCAAAACACCCACTTGGTCAAACCTTCTTACAGTTAGGACCACAGTCAAAATCCCCTCTCGATTCCCCCAATGAACGAGAGGTCCACAAATTGAGCGATCAAACCTTCCTACAGTTAGGATTGTCTCAAAACACCCACTTGGTCAAACCTTCTTACAGTTAGGACCACAGTCAAAATCCCCTCTCGATTCCCCCAATGAACGAGAGGTCCACAAATTGAGCGATCAAACCTTCCTACAGTTAGGATTGTCTCAAAACACCCACTTGGTCAAACCTTCTTACAGTTAGGACCACAGTCAAAATCCCCTCTCGATTCCCCCAATGAACGAGAGGTCCACAAATTGAGCGATCAAACCTTCCTACAGTTAGGATTGTCTCAAAACACCCACTTGGTCAAACCTTCTTACAGTTAGGACCACAGTCAAAATCCCCTCTCGATTCCCCCAATGAACGAGAGGTCCACAAATTGAGCGATCAAACCTTCCTACAGTTAGGATTGTCTCAAAACACCCACTTGGTCAAACCTTCTTACAGTTAGGACCACAGTCAAAATCCCCTCTCGATTCCCCCAATGAACGAGAGGTCCACAAATTGAGCGATCAAACCTTCCTACAGTTAGGATTGTCTCAAAACACCCACTTGGTCAAACCTTCTTACAGTTAGGACCACAGTCAAAATCCCCTCTCGATTCCCCCAATGAACGAGAGGTCCACAAATTGAGCGATCAAACCTTCCTACAGTTAGGATTGTCTCAAAACACCCACTTGGTCAAACCTTCTTACAGTTAGGACCACAGTCAAAATCCCCTCTCGATTCCCCCAATGAACGAGAGGTCCACAAATTGAGCGATCAAACCTTCCTACAGTTAGGATTGTCTCAAAACACCCACTTGGTCAAACCTTCTTACAGTTAGGACCACAGTCAAAATCCCCTCTCGATTCCCCCAATGAACGAGAGGTCCACAAATTGAGCGATCAAACCTTCCTACAGTTAGGATTGTCTCAAAACACCCACTTGGTCAAACCTTCTTACAGTTAGGACCACAGTCAAAATCCCCTCTCGATTCCCCCAATGAACGAGAGGTCCACAAATTGAGCGATCAAACCTTCCTACAGTTAGGATTGTCTCAAAACACCCACTTGGTCAAACCTTCTTACAGTTAGGACCACAGTCAAAATCCCCTCTCGATTCCCCCAATGAACGAGAGGTCCACAAATTGAGCGATCAAACCTTCCTACAGTTAGGATTGTCTCAAAACACCCACTTGGTCAAACCTTCTTACAGTTAGGACCACAGTCAAAATCCCCTCTCGATTCCCCCAATGAACGAGAGGTCCACAAATTGAGCGATCAAACCTTCCTACAGTTAGGATTGTCTCAAAACACCCACTTGGTCAAACCTTCTTACAGTTAGGACCACAGTCAAAATCCCCTCTCGATTCCCCCAATGAACGAGAGGTCCACAAATTGAGCGATCAAACCTTCCTACAGTTAGGATTGTCTCAAAACACCCACTTGGTCAAACCTTCTTACAGTTAGGACCACAGTCAAAATCCCCTCTCGATTCCCCCAATGAACGAGAGGTCCACAAATTGAGCGATCAAACCTTCCTACAGTTAGGATTGTCTCAAAACACCCACTTGGTCAAACCTTCTTACATTTGTAGTAACCCCAACTGTCCCTAGGCACACTACTATCAACACGTAGCCAAGATTTCAAAATATGAAGATGTGAGGGACTAATATGGAAAAAACCCATCAGTAACTACTTCAATTTAAGTAGCCCCCCCTCGTTAACGCCCCCTCCCTCTCAAATCACCGCAATGGCAATCGATGAGGCCCTGATGACGTACGCGGATCCAGTGGTTGGGGGTCGGAAAACCTTCCCGTTTATCGTAGGTCTCTCTCTCTCTCCCTCCCCCTCTCTCACGTGCGTTCTCCCCTCCGTGCGAACTAATTAACCCTGTAATTGCTTGCACGCACGCGCGCGCGCACGCACGCAGCTGCCGTGGTGGGCGTAGGGATCGGGGCTTACGCGACGTTGGCCAACTCGGGCATCTACCTCATGGAAAAATACAATGTCTCGCCCGTCGACGGCAGCGTCATCGCCAGCGTCTTTGTCGGCTCGACCAACCTCGCTCCGGTCGTCGGAGGCGTCATTTCAGACACTTGCCTCAGCTGCTTCGCCGTCATCAGCGTTGCTTGCGCTGCCTGCTTCCTGGTAATTAATTCCCTCGTTGCTTGCTCCCTCCCTTGTCGGTTGTAATCAATTATCACAGCCTTGGAATATTCTGGCCTTTTTTTTTGTGTTTTTAGTTTTTAAATTATTTTATTGATCGAGTTTCAGGAGATTACCTCCTTAACATTCAAAATGCCACAAAATCCTCCCTAATTAAGTTTTGGGGTTCTCACAGATCTTTTCAATATTTTCAATGAATCTCCCTAAAGGGTTTTAACTCGAGTTTCACATAAGGTGGTAAAAGTTATCATGAGGGAGATATTTTTACTAGTGAAAAATTGTTGTTGGCACGTTTAGAAAAAGGGATTTTGAAAAACATTGGAAGCTGAAGGTTGAGGGCCCCAAAAATTTGCTGCTCACAAAACCCTCCCGAACTTTCAACTCTTTTCATCGTGACAAATAATTAAAATACGCTTTAGATGAAAAAAATTCAATTGATGATATTTTTTCTTTTAAGTAAAATCTATTTATCATCGTCTTTTAAGAAAAAGTTGAAAGTCAACGAGTTTTGTGAGAAACCCAATATTAAAGGGGGTTTGTGACCTAAAAAAAAAGCAAAGGGCTTATGTGCAAAATGTCCAACTTCAAGGGTTGTACCCTTAATTTTGAGATCAATAGTAATAATTATAATAATAAAAAAGTTCATACTAATTTTATATCGGTTTTTCTATAGAGTGCCCTTGGGCACTCTATAAGAGAGGAGAGAGAGAGAGAGAGAGAAATGAATGAGGAGGGGGGGCCCCTGATTTGCATTGGGATCATCTCTTCATTCATTTCTCTCTATCTCTCTCCTCTCTTATAGAGTGCCCAAGGGCACTCTATAGAAAAACCGATATAAAATTAGTATGAACTTTTTTATTATTATAATTATTACTATTGATCTCAAAATTAAGGGTACAACCCTTGAAGTTGGACATTTTGCACATAAGCCCTTTGCTTTTTTTTTTAGGTCACAAACCCCCTTTAATATTGGGTTTCTCACAAAACTCGTTGACTTTCAACTTTTTCTTAAAAGACGATGATAAATAGATTTTACTTAAAAGAAAAAATATCATCAATTGAATTTTTTTCATCTAAAGCGTATTTTAATTATTTGTCACGATAAAAAGAGTTGAAAGTTCGGGAGGGTTTTGTGAGCAACAAATTTTTGGGGCCCTCAACCTTCAGCTTCCAATGTTTTTCAAAATCCCTTTTTCTAAACGTGCCAACAACAATTTTTCACTAGTAAAAATATCTCCCTCATGATAACTTTTACCACCTTATGTGAAACTCGAGTTAAAACCCTTTAGGGAGATTCATTGAAAATATTGAAAATATCTCTGAGAACCCCAAAACTTAATACGTGTACGCGAGAAAGGACGGGAGCAAAAAAAATGTGCTCGTTTGTAAACGCTTAGTACAATATTTTTCTTAAAAAAACATTTAGTTCAATATTTTAATCTACCACCCACGGTGTTAGTTTCTATTCTAGAATATATTGAGCCTTTGTTTTGCCTTTGAAAACAAATTTCTCATAAAATATATGGCTGGACAGATACCCAAATATTTTTTGACAGTCAACTTTTTGAGTAACCGGAGTAAGATGCTTTGAGAATTTACTGATTAGAAAAATAGATGCAAAACGTTATGCAGTTAATTTTTTAAGTATATAACATTTAGACATTTAAATTATTTAGTAGATAATTATAATTTATTTGAAATCCATTACTCATCGTATCTTTGTAAATTACGCTCATTCCTAATTTGCATAAAAAAATATTAACCATCTACTATAGTATATCAGATTCCCTGCATTATCTTTTTTTTTTGTAGTGGAGGGGATTAGAATCCTGACAACACGCCAAAAAAAAAAAAAATTCTGGTAGGTGTGAAGTCAAACTCTTCTCATATTTCTGGATTCGAGCATAGTCAAACAATCTTAAACATCGGTGGTTAATGCAGGGCATGCTTCTATTTACATTAACTGCCATATTCCCCTCATTGAGGCCACCGTCCTGTACATATAGCCCCTGCCAGGGCCCAACAACATGGCAGTTCGCAATACTCTCCATGGCCTTAGCCCTAATGACCGTGGGCCTTGGCGGGACCCGGTTCACCGGAGCAGCTATGGGCGCAGCCCAATTCGGTGACGAGAATGACCGAGACACTTTCTTCAGCTGGTACCTCGTCGCGATGTACATTTCTTCGATCATCGGCATCGTCGGGATCGTGTACATTCAGGCTAATTTGGGCTGGGTCCTGGGCTTTGGCGTGTGCGCTGTAATTGCAGCAGTCGGTTTCGTCATCTTTCTCCTTGGGAATCGTTATTATCGGCATCCTAAGCCGCAGGAGAATCCACTTGTCGATATTTTTCGACAGATATTGTCACGGGCGGGGAAGCGAAAGGCGGCGTCGGAGTCATCTGAAAGGCTACTGTGTTGCAGTAAGGTTGATGATGGAGCAGTTGAACCGCAAACCACGATTGAGTGTCCAAGGTATGGTTTCATTTTGAAGGTATGATCATATGAGCTGGGATTTTGTAGTATTTAAAAAAAGTTTTTGGAGGGAAAAATCTTTATTTTGAAACTGATTTGTATGGGTAGATGGGTGTGTTTGTGTGCATGCATCATCATGCGCATGTATATGTGCACGGATGTGTGCGCGGATACGTGTATGCATGTCCATGTGTATGGGTGTGTGCGTGTGCTTGAATGCGCGTATGCATGTTTGTGTATCTGTGTGAGCGTATGCGGGTTAGAGCTGTGCGTGTACAACAGGCACTGATCATATCAGAACATCTTGTGCGTGAGAAGGATGTTCTAGGCCATACAGGACAAGGGTTAGTGGGGGCAATTAGGAGATCAACAAATTTGAATTCTCTCCATTGTCACAATAAGTGGGGAGAAACCACTAATTTTTAGCATAGAGTTTATTATTTTGTTGATGGTTTTGATTCATTTTCATATCTTAACACTTATTATATCCTGTGCGTTTGGCTGATTCCATTATATGCTCAAATGATCAATCAAGACCATGAATATATACACTTATGGTTAACAGTAGTTAATATTCCATTATATGCTCAAATGATCAATCAAGACCATGAATATATACACTTATGGTTAACAGTAGTTAATTTTTCAATATATGCAGAGTGTTCTGATGTGATTTGTATGCATAATTTTTCTACAGGTATCAAGAGGAAGCAACGACACGAGAGGTCAAACAAGAAGACGAACTCACCATCCTCCTCCGGCTCGTCCCCCTAATCACAACTGGCATAATCCTCAGCTTCTACCTCGGCCTCCAAATGTCCGCCTCCTTCCTCCAAGCCCTCGTCATGGACCTCCATCTCACCCCAAGACTCACTATCCCCATCGGCTCCATCTCCATCTTCCTCATCCTATCCGCCACCCTCTCCATCCCCCTCCTCAATTACCTCCTCTACCCTCTCCACCGCTTCCTCACCGGTCAACACCCAACCCCCCTGGCCCGCATCGGCTTCGGATTTCTCATCACAACCTTCGCCATGGTCTACGGCGCCCTAACCGAACGAAAGCGGCTCCACGACCTCCAAACCGATGCTCAACCAATTTCCGTTCTTTGGCTTGTGCCGTGTTTTATGCTGGTAGGGTTCGGCGAGGCACTACATTTTCCGGGGCAGCTCGCGTTCTTCTATCAGGAGTTCCCAGAGTCGTTCAAGGGGTCCGGGATGGCGGTGAGCGCGCTTCAATCGGGGGTCGGGAGTTATGCCACGTCGGCGGGCATTGGGATGATTAGGCGTTTTTTGGACGGGTGGATAGCGGATAATGCTAACGAGTCGAGGTTGGATAAGGTGTATTGGTTGATGGCCGGAGTTGGCGCGGTGAATTTTGGGTGTTTTGTTGCGTGTGCGAGGTTGTATATGAGGAAAAAGGGAGGGAAGAGTTGAATTCTCATGTACTCACCATTAATGCAATGTGCTGAATAAGAATTTTTTTTGAAACATACCCATTTCAATTTTTTTTTAAAACCTACCATTTTTTTTATTTACCAAAACCGATCCGATTTTGTGATTAGCAGTCTAATTACCTTCCTAAACAGTCGGGATTGACAACCCCGACTATTAGGACATTAATTTTTAGGGTTTAAGACTTTTAATTAGGGTTTAACACCCTCCTAAATAGTCGGGGTTGGCAACCCCGACTATTTAGGAAGGTAATTAAACTGCTAATCACAAAATCGGGTCGGTTTTGGTAAATAAAAAAAAAGGTCGGTTTTAATTTTTTTTTTGAAATGGGTCTGTTTCAAAAAATTGTTCGCTGAATAAATAAGAATGGTATTACGAAGGTTCGATCTTAGAATATTGTCATAATATAGTCGTCTTAGTTTCGCTTTTAGGAATGTCACGACCTCCCCCCATCGGTCCACAACTCTCTTCTCATTGTTCGTAACTTATAAAGATTGAAACATTTCAGCTCACTAGTTAATTAATTGGACAAATCCGGTGTTTTAATTAGGAGATGTATATATGAATCCGGACAGTCTGAAGATTTCAATATAACTCCCACACGGTCTTGGCTTCAATTCTGTGCTGAAGTATCAAAATTGAAAAAATAGGAGACGTACGATATGAAAGCAGCTCATTCCTTAACCCAACCGATCTACACCTAAAAAACCAACAAATCGACAATAGTCAAACTTAATCGATTTGATTCAGATTGTTAGAAAATAGTTAAAATCTATCGAAGTCCTGTGCGTGTGACTCATTGCGGTTGGAAGTCCCCCTCCTCAAAAACCCCCCAATTTGCTAGTCATAAACCCTAGCCAAAGCCCTAATCCCCTAAAACCCTAAAAAATGTCGAACCCCAACTTCCACCAATTCCCCCAATCAAAATCTATCGACTCCGTCCGCTTCCTCTCCCCAATCTCCTCCTCAATCCCCTCCCCTTCCAGAATCACCTCCCTCAAATCCCCCACCCCCAAATCCATCGTCTTCTCCACCCTCTCCGGCACCCTCCACTTCGCATTCCTCGACCCCGTTGATGGGTCGTTCGATTCGGGCCCCACGGTTGAAACCTCTTTACACCGGGGCTCGGTTTCGAGTATTGACGTTGTGGAGGGGGGAGGGGAGTGTGTGAGTGTGGGAATGGATGGGAGGGTGAATTTGGTTGGGGTTGGAGAAGGGGGGAGGGTGGAGTGGAAGCGGGTTGCAGATAGTAACGGGTTGGTCGGGTATAGTTCGGTCCGGTGGGGGTCGAATGTGGAGTTTGCGACGGGCGGCTTGGGGTTTGGGTTGCAGTGGTGGGATCAGAGAAGGCCCGGTGGAGCCGTGTCTCAGTTGAAAGGGAATTGGTGAGTGAAATTATGCTTGCATATTTTCGTATCTAGGAGGGGCTAGCGAAAACAATTTGAATTCTTGTATTGCATATCATGCAACAGGAAGGATGGAAATCATGTTGGCATTTTGAGAGTAGTGTTGCACTGAAAGCCTTTCCAATTAATATGGGTTTCTGCTTAGAGCGTGTAACTCTAAATTGAATAGGCTCATGGGGATTGAAGTTTAGCAGTGGCTTGTTGGATTTTTTTTGTTCATCCAAATGTTTTCTATGTTCCTTGCTGCAGAAATGTAGTAATAGTGAGTTGACTACGGCTTAGAGAATGGTTAGTAGGCATTAAGAACAACACCGTATATAGTGTTGTTTGCCATTGAACTTCTGTGTGTTGATTTTTTGACGCACAAGCTTTCTCAACAATCATTTATGGCCAGTTCCTTCCTCTTCCTCAACAGTTGTCTAGATTTTATAGGTTCATCTAGTCCAACATTAGTTCCTATGTCAATATGTGAAATCCCTGTCCATTTCATTCACACTAGTGTCTTTCTCAGTCAACGCAGACTCTGATAAATTAGAAATCTTGCTGTCAAAGAGTTACAATATGCCTGTTAAACTTTACAAGCTTATCTATGTTGCTGATGTGTCCCAACATATAAAACTAACAAGTGTTCGTGAATACTGACACATGTGATGTAAGGTTATGACTGGTTACATGAAACCCATGTTCATTTGTTGACTTGGCTTTACCATGAGCATGTAGCATCCTTTATATCAGTATAGTATTCTATCATAAATTTTATGAGGATTTCATGTAATTGAGAGACTGGAAAACTTCTCATTAATTAGTGGCTCGTAAAATTGTAGGAAAGGTTATTTGCCACTGCATCAGTGATGTTTCAGGGTTTCCTAGTGACACATTTGTAGTCTCACAAAATTGTAGGAAAGGTTATTTGCCACTGCATCTGTTATTTTACAGGGTTTACTAGTGACACATTTATAGTTGATATACGCAAATGGGTATATCGAGTGGACACTCAAATCCTGTAGATACTGCTGAATCTTTTCCATCAGTGCGAGATTATCTTTGGAATAGGGATTTCAATGGTTGTATGGGAAAAAAATAAAAAAGAAGAAAAAAGGGACTGCTGGTGTCGAAGTAATTATTTATAGGCCTTATATCTTTTGAGACAAGAACCTCAAATATCTAGTTTTTTTTTTTCTGCGTATGCGGAAATTCCATGTTAATAGCTCTGTTTTATCACATACATTTGTGAAGCATAAATGTCTTGACCTTCAAATAAGAAATGTTTATTTTTAAAAGATTTTTCTATTTATGTCTCTGAAAAATGAAATTTTTTCCTTCTAGTCTTAAAATCTGCTGTAGGTTGTGTTGCATATCACTACTATTACCACAAAAAAGATCTTTGTTCTTTCTGTTCTTTTTTGTACAACAGAAGTTTATGAGAGTGCATATGCTGCAGGGCTCGAGGCAATATGCCTAGCATGGTGCATTCTATTGATATTCATCCTTCACGGAAGCATATTTGTGTGGTATGTCCGCTTAATCTCTGCCAGCAACATATTCTACAACATTTCATTTCAACATATGTTATAACATTTCATTTCCCATTTGTCTTATGCATTCTACCTCCTAATAGAGGGAAGTTAGTTCCTACATAAAATAGTTGCTATGCGTTAGAAATATTTTTTTATTATATTAATGCAGTAGCATGCCAATGGCTAATATTGGCACTTTTAATTAAATGAACAGAAAACAAATTAGGCTTTAGCATTTATTTATTTATTTTCATACCATGGTAATTGATCCATATTGATGAAAAACTGTTAGATAATTTTTTTTTCCAGTTATATCATTTGTATAGGCAAGCCATTTCCAAACTTCTACATAAAACAGAAGTTTTGCTGAATGAAATGAATAAGCATTTGAGATTTGCCCTTCTTTTGAATCTTTTAGTGGATGTTTGGTAGCCTACAAGCCTACAACTGCAGTTACATGCAACTGGGTTATTTGTGTTGTTGCAAGTGTTTGTTTCATCGCAACTAGATGTTGCAGCTGCAACTAAAGTTGATAATGCTCCCTCAGTTGCAGCTTACAACATCAATAACAATAACGAAGCTTTTCCCCCAAATGTTTGGACTTTGGGGTTAGCTACATGTATCTTATTCTTCCATTCCGTTCGATTTTTGGCCATCTCCTCCATTAAGTTAACCATTATCATATCCTCCTTAATTGCTTCTAACCAAGTTCTCTTAGATCTAGCTCTAGATCTCTTTATTCCATTAACTATGATATTATTATTTTTCCTATCCAGTGCATTAAGAGGTCTCCGTTGTACATGACCAAACAACCTTATTTGATTTTCTCTCATTTTATCTTTAATAGGAGCAACCTCTAATTTACTACGGATACACTTCTTTCTTATCCTACCCTGTTGCAGCTTATAACTTACCTTAAAATTAGTAGTTTGCATGAATCAACTAGAGCAGTTGCTTCTGTTAAACTACAAAATCTCTGGGGATTAGGATTGCATAAAATTCTTGCATATTAGATTTCTTCTATAGTAGCGAACTTGTCTGAAGTCAAATAACATGCAATACTTCTTTCTACATGCCTCCCATGTTCTTTTTTGCCCCTACTTAAGACGATTTGAAATTCTTTATGACCATTCTATCTGAATTCATGGAGGCGGGAGGCTCTGGTGGCACGATATTTGCTTGGGACCTTCGATGGCAGCAACAACCGATCATTCTCTCTGGAGCTGGTGTCAGTGGAACAAGCCAATCACTTTCCGAGAGTGACGTGTGGGAAGTCCAATACGACAATCATACTTTATCCTCAAGTGTTACCTCAGCTCCATCAACAAAGATTTTACCTGTTATGATGTGTTCAGAAGATGGGATCCTTGCAGTTCTGGAGCAGGGTAAGCTATTTTCTCACCTGAGGAGCATGTCAAGTTTATCAATCATCACATGAAAAAATTATGTCTTTTCTGTGGTGCATGTTTTCTAAAATATTTATTTATACCAAGTCTACTCTTTTAAGTCTTCCCTCAATATCACAGATGCAGAACCCATTGAACTGTTGGGAGAACCTTGTGCAATCAATACTTTTGACATTGATCCTCAAAATCCATCTGTAAGAATACATTAGAGCAATCTATTCTTATTCTTTTTGTAAATTTTGTTGTATTTCTTTTTTTTTTAATTTATGCTATACGCATATACTTGACAAACCGCAATCTTCTGCAGGAGGTGATATGCGCTTTGGAGTGGGAAAGTATTGGCATACTAACAAGACCAAGGATGGTAGCATACTGAATCTTGAAATTATGTATGTGAAGAGCGTGTAATTTGGAAATATGATAAGGTCAAATTTTGAATCTCTGGGTGAGAGTATATTTGTCTGAGTTTGGTTTTGATGTATTGGGGCAGCTGTTCTATGGCTTTTATAACTTTACAATGTTGATCTACATGACTCACTTAACTTCAATCAGATATGGATTCATTTTTAGTCCGATGCCTTTCTCGTGTCTCATCAGATATTTATTCTACTGCGTTGTGCGAATGTTCATGTTTTACTCAGAAAATGGCCTTTTCTAATTACTTGATGATATTTGTTTTTTTGGAGTACATGAGGGACAGATATGCGATTTGCAACTAACTCGTGCATGTTTGAATATGTGCAAACGGGGAAAAAAGAGAATTTACATGATAATAATTAAGAGTTGTTCCTTCATTGCAAATGAGAAATAATGCATTGCTCAACAGAATTTTCTACTATTGGAGCCAGATAAGGGCTCCTGGGAGATGACATGACTTTGAGAAACGCACGCTAATGAGCTTTCTGCTGAGCCATGCCACATTGTAGCAAGTATTGTTATTGTAAACGTTTCTTAATTTGAACGAGATCATGCCTACTGAACAGAAGAAGATCAGTACCTGTGACTGTGAGCAGATAAAAATGAGCTCAAAATATGAAAGATTCCAACCTCGTGCTACAATAACAAATACCCAGTACAAAATTTTTGGAAACCTACATGAACATCTGTCGCTAATCTTGGCTATGTATCAACGATCCAAAACTTCTCCAGTTGCTGCCTCTTCCATCGATGCCTCTTCTAAATGCCGTGTCATGTGAGATATCTCTAAAGGTGACTTGAGATTTATTTTCCTTGCTTCTGAAATTTTGATGATCAATCACGTCGATCCAACAGGAATCATTTTGACTGCGGCAGCGATGGGCATGCTGAGAAACCCGAAGAACATTGTGGCAATCCATTGAAAGAAAGTGAGAGGAATTGTGTTGGCAAAATCACCAAGGAACTGAACGATTATGAATTGAAAAATGATAGAGCTCGCAACAACGATCACAAACACATTGTTCTCTAAGATTCCATCAAACACGTCTATCTTCTCCATCTCTCTCGAGCTTATCTCGTTGAACAACTGCATATGGAATCCAAAAATGCGGTGTAAATAGAGTGGTTATTTATGTACATCAATTATAGTTAACTTGCGTGTCATATCTTCGATATGCAACAAAGCTTAAGTCGATGGGTCCTATAACAAGTGGCAAAGGTCTCTGCCACTGTGGTTGAGGGCTCTTTTTATGTCCTGAAACGTGGACTCACTACTTAGTGGTATCTTTTCTTTCTCTTTAATCCGTTTTTAAATAGGGGGCTAAGTCATATTCGATCTGGGTTGCTACGATACCATCACAAAGGTCTCCTTTGGAGTTATGATGATGATCGAGGGTTACAACCTTATATTCTAACAATAAGTAAAGAGATCATGTGCGTTCCATTAACTAAGTTCAACTCAAATCTGACAGAAACAACAGAAAATGGGAAAATTATGCTGCCATAAATTACCTGGCAGAAGACAAAGGTATTGAAAATAAGTGTATTCAGCGTGATATCAGACTCAGGGCCCTTCAGCCGGAAAAACCATTTCCCTCCTGCTTGGAAAGACCAAACTAAGATAAACTGAAAGAGAGATTGGCCGAAAATATTTCTCCACATCACATTGTTGATAAAATTCCCTTTTCTTCCAACCGGTGTTCTCTTCATCAATTCATTGTTCGGCGGCTCTGTGGCTAGTGCAAGTGCTCCCAGTGTGTCCATTATCATGTTCACCCAAAGCAACTGAACTGCAGTGAGCGGAGCCTTTCCTAACATGTTTAGCAGAAAATCAAAACGAGGTAAAATAAAAGAGGAATAGTACGAGAAATTTCTTGTAATTTGAAGTTTCAGGAATTGCGAGAAGAGTTGGGAGTTACCAGTGAAGCAAGCCGAGGAGAAATTAACACCCAGAGCAACAACGTTAACGGTCAGCTGAAATTGCACAAACTTCTGAATGTTGATGTACACGGAGCGACCCCATTTGGCCACAGTGACAATGGTTGAGAAATTGTCGTCGAGAATTACAACATCAGCACTCTCTTTTGCGACCTGCAAGAAACTAATAAATGTAACACGAGAAGAAAATTACGATATAAAGGATGGTGTAATAGATAGAATTTGGGCATCGGCGAATGAAATAACGCGGGAGTTATAATTCTGAAACAGCAAGAAACCAGATTCAATTCTAAAAGAAAGCTTCAGATAAAGATTTACCAGTCTGAGAGAACATGGATATATAGGATATGTGGAAAGACACGTTAAGATGAAACAGACAAGGTGATGACACATTTTCATTGAAGGCCAGAAATGTTTCTTCTCAATTGGGAATCAAAACCCAAGTTGAGAGATATCATCAACTCGACATTTCACATAAAATTCAAAGAATGAAGAAGGCCATTGGATATGAAATAACTGAAATTCAAGGGTCTTCTAGAAGAAATTCAGACAGAATAAAAATATGTTCTACTCCTTTTCAGAATAAATGAGAATAATAGCTGGGCAAACAGATTACTAAAATAACTGCATGTGTCTGCAACAGATTTTTTTTGACATTTAATTGAATATAGAAAACCAAAAAAAAAAAAAAGTTCACATACAAACAAATCATATCCAACTGAACGTTAAATCGTAACAAAAAGGCAAACACCTATTAGATTATCTCTATAGGCACAACAGGTCAACTAATGAACCAGGCATAAATGTATAATAAACTTTTTTTTTGTCGAAAAGCTCCCTATCAGAGAAAGAAAAAGGAAAAATGTGTAAGTACCTCAGTTCCTGCAATACCCATTGCCAGACCAATATCTGCCTCGTGAAGCGCCGGAGCATCATTCGTACCATCACCAGTCACAGCAACTACTTCACCAAATGTGGTTCTCAAGTGTTTTACCAAAGTATGTTTATCCAAAGGCGAGGATCGAGCCATTACCTTTTAAATTACAAATAACCAACAAATTCATGGGCACCTTACCACTTAAAAATCAAAAAGTTCAGGAATTATCAGCAAGAAGAATTTATTACCTGAATTTTTGGAATTAGTTCATTTAACTCTTCTAGTTTTTTCTCTCGAAAATCTGGACCTTCTATAGCTATACCATCATCTGTAAGTATCCCACATTCTCTTGCAATGGCTTTTGCAGTATTAATGTTATCTCCTGTAACCATTCTCACTGTTATCCCTGCAGACCTGCAAACTGCAACCGACTCCTTTACGCCAGGACGAACTGGATCTTTGATACCCACGATTCCGATACAAGTGTAACCCCTCATAGGAATCTGATCGTTCAGTGAGAAACCATCCTCTATTTCCATATAAGCAACACAGAGCGTACGAAGAGCTTCCTTAGCGAAGCTTTCTATCGTATAGCTGAGATGCTTAGTTGCTCCTTCATCAAGAGGGACAACTTGGCCTTCGGGATTTAAAAACTTATCGCAAGAAGCCAATATTATCTCAGAAGCACCTTTAGTATGAGCACGGTATCGTCCATCTTCAAGTTGGAGAACCACTCCCATTCTCTTCTTGGTAGAATTGAAGGGTTCGACTTTGATGAGCTTCACTGCTTGGCGCTCTGCCTGAAAATTTCCACCCAAATTCAAGGCAAATTCTAAGATGGCGCTCTCTGTTGGCGTACCTAGAATTTCGGTTTTCCCTTCTTGATTGGTAACAACTTCTCCTCCGGTGTTATTAAATACTGACTGCAAAAGAATTTTAACCGCAACTTCGGGAATTTGAGAGGCGAGATTGCTAGCCTCTTTAGGATTATTCAACTCCTTAACATTTCCACAAATGCAAACTTTTACAGCAGTCATTCGGTTAGTTGTTAGTGTTCCAGTCTTATCGCTGCAAATAGATGTAGCTGATCCCATTGTCTCGCATGCCGCAAGATTTCGAACCAGCGCTTTATCATTCATCATTTTCTTCATGGCAAAAGCAAGGCTTAACGTCACAGCCAACGGCAATCCTTCAGGAACCGCGACCACAACTATTGTGACCGCAATAGCAAAATACTCTAAAAGCTCCAACGCGTCGTCCCCTGACCAGCGAAAGACCAAACCCTGTTGAAATTTACGTTTAATAAGAGATTGCGTTAGCACCGCAAATGTCACCACCGCAAAGAACACCCCGATTTTTCCAATAATAGTCGCGACGCCATTCAATTTCACTTGCAGAGGAGTCTCATCGTCCCCTCCTTCACTAAGGGTAGCCATCAGTTTCCCCCATTGCGTCCTCATCCCAACAGTAGTCACCAGCATTTTGCACGAGCCATCTTGAACTTTCGTTCCCGATAGAAGAAACGGGTTCTCAGAATTAACCTCCACGGGCTCGCTCTCTCCTGTGAGACTTGACTCGTCGATAAGCAAAGAAAATCCTGATATGAACAATCCGTCAGCAGGCACTTGATCTCCAATTGCCAGATTAACAACATCACCGGGAAGTAGATCATAAATAGACAGTCTCTGTCTAAATCCTTTTCGGGTAACTTGTATAGATATCTTCTTCTTCTCCTTATCCAAATCTTTAAACTGTAACGACTGTCTGTAATCGCTCGTCGCGGTGACCAGAACAACTAACAAGATACTAGCAACAATTCCAAGGCCGTCATGCGCACCTACAGGCCATCCCTCAGTAGCGGTACCGACTGTCAGAGATACGAGAGCGCACACACCAAGAATCATGAGGGTCATATCCTGAAGTGCCTCCCATACAAATACCCAAAAACTTTTAACTGGGGTTTCGGTGAACTTATTAGCTCCATATATTCGTAGCCTACGTCTTAGGTCTTTATTGGTCGCACTTATCCCATTTTCAGGTGATGTGTTGAGTTTTCCTACGATGCCGTCCAATCCACCGTGAGCTTTCAATTTCTTTATGCTGTGGCCTTCAACAACGGCTTCTAATTCATCGGCACAAATCTGAAAACCGGCGGCCTTCACTTTGTCAGGTACCTTATATTCCTCTAATGTGATGCCTGGACACATTTGAGAACGACGGTATCGAGATGGTAATCAGATGATGAGAAAATATAGCCCGTTCCTTAAACTACATTATAAAGAGACTTGTTTATGAAAGAAATCAGAAGGATTACCATGTATAAACTGAAGTGCAGCTTTTGAAACTAATACAGCAACGCGCAGCTTCTCCTGCAGTTTATACACGGATACAGGTCAGTCTTTGATGGAAGGAAGAGTATTTTTCTCACAAGCATCATAGGCTCGATCACTATGGTCCTGGCACGAAGTTTGCCGGTGAATGATTGATGCTAGAGAACAGTTCAACGGAACAAATTAATGTTCAAATGGCCGAAGAATTCATATTTTTAGATAAACGGGTGCTACTTTTCTGTACTTTGATCGTTACTTGTTTTCGCATTTTTTTCTACCGAAAACGTGACCGAAAACGTGAACCTCGTCCCCTCTTCAAATTTAATGTATTATTGCTCTGATATATATATGCCCCTTATGGAGCTCTAAGGTTATTAGTTCGATCACCCACCATATCTTGGTCTCTTTGGATTATAATTCGAGATCTATTTCATCACAATTATATCAAAGGCGCATTGCTACCATCAAACTCTCAGCATTTACGTACGTATCCTAATGTCCAAATAGAGCAACCTATATCTGTACTACGAAGGATGTGTATGCTCAGCCCCCTATAAAAGAATATGGAATATTTTTCTCCAACACACTGACGTCGAGAAAATTTAGGAGAAGGTTATCTTCATTAACCCTACTAAAAAAATAAGTGAATAAATTAGGGGAACAAGCTAAGGATGATTGAATTATATTAGCACAGGAAAAAAGAAAAGACGGTGACAACCTGATTGGATTTCTTCATGGCCTTGGCCTCGACCCTCTTCGACAGGTTGGCCGTGAACCTGAACCGCCTCTTCGGGTTCTTGACGACGCCGCAGACGCTCCTCCATCGCTGCAGGGCCTCCTCGGACGAGTGCTTCCCCTTCACCCCACCAAAATTCTGGTTCAAATACTTCTCCATCATATTTTTATCCTTTTTTTTTTTCAATTTTTGTTTTCTTCCACCTTTTTAGTTAGTTTCTCATTAGCAACCCGTTGAGGTTGCAATATGACATGCAAAGGGATCAAGGGGAGGGGGCTTGATATATAAATAAGGGGGACGGGGGAAATTGTGTGGTACTGAAATTGGTGAAACGTGTGATCCGAGAATTGTTGAGAGAGGAGGGGAGGCCGGTGGCGGAGCTTCCATGGGTTTGCCTGGAATTGTGGGGGAGAGAGTAGAACAAGTGGAGATGCACGTCATGGGAAAATTATGGGATCGACGAGACTGAGTTCGGTGTTCTTCGGAATAAGCGCGTGGCAGTAGGATTCGGGTGTTCGTTAGCAGGGTAAAGTTCGCGAAACCCCCTGGGCCGTGGGGCATTTTCTCGCAAACCCCCGACTTTCAAAAATTTCCCGATTGAACCCGTACTAGTGGCGTTATTTTAATTTTGTTGCTTGTCGACGTTCCATGAAAATTTTGAGAGTTTTAGAGGGTTTTGTGGGACACCCTAGAGTTCAGGGTGCTAAGTGAATAAAAAAATGTCATGGAGGTTTCATGGAAAATGGTCAAAAGATTTTGAGGGTATTGTGAAATTTGCACTCCCTACCAACATAGATAAATTAGGGCCTTTTGTCTATTAATATACCACAAAGGAAAATGATAGGGGCACACCTCGAACCACACCCCCTCTCTCAATTGCTACAGTGCACCAGGCCCCACATGTGATTTTAATTTTTAAAATCTCATGTGGGGCCCGGTACACTGTAGCAAATAAGAGAGGGTGTGTGGTTGGAGGTGTGGTTGGGAGTGTGCCCCTAGTATCATCCTACCACAAAATCAAAATTTTTTTTTTGGGGGGGTGGGGGGGGG